AAACACAAAATTGCAAAAACAGATTTTTACTGTATGTGAAGATGGTACAATGAGAGTAGGTACACTGAGCAGAAATGCAAGACAAACGAGGATCGTTCCAGGGAGCCACTGGTGGTTTGATGTAAAAGCAAAACAAGTTGCTTGGCCCTCAAAAGGTCAAAACTTGAATTCTGGTCTCCTTAGTAGCATACTTTAAAAACTAAGATCATATTGCTCTCTGACTCAAAGACCTCCCATTGCTTCTTCTATCCCTCAGTGTAAACACCAGGCCCACTCCCTGGCATATGAGACCTGACATGATGATCCTCTCTTGCTCCCTTACTGACTCTAGTCCAGGTGCGCTGGGCTCTGGGCTGCTTCCTAAACACAAGCCAGGCTTTTCCACTTGCTGTTCTCCTGCCCAGAACAATCTTCCATGGCCAACTGGCTGTGTGCTTCAGTCTCTACTCAAACCTCCCCCTGTCAGTGAGGCCTTCCCTGAAGCTTTTCTTTAAAGCACATCTCCAGTCCACCCCCAGCACTTCACTGTCCCACTTCCCGTCTGCCTTCCCTCCCCAGAGCTTATCATCTCCTATGAGATATCAAATATTAGTCCTTTGTTTCTTGTCTTTCTCTTCCCACTAGAATGCAAACTCACAAGAGCAATGCACATCTTCAGGATCTACAACAGGAATAGGTTTGGTACAAAACTGTCAACAAATATTTGCTAAACTGTTAGGAAAAAACAGCCAGGGAAATGAAGGGGAGTTCCTCATTTTTGTGGAATCTGTAAAGTGATAAGTAAAAGCTAAAAACAGCTGGGCTCGGTGGTTCAGCCTGTAATCCCGCGCTTTGGGAGGCTGAGGTGAGTGGATTGCCTGAGCCTGCGGGTTCGAGACCTGCCTGGGCAATTTGGCAAGACCTCATCTCTACAATAAATCAAAATATTAGCCAGGCATGGTAGTGCACGTCTGTAGTTCCAACTACTGGAAGACTGAGGCGGAAGGATCGCTGGAGCCCAGCAGGTCGAGGCTGCAGTGGCCGGGAGCGGCCACTGCACTCCAGTCTGGATGACAGAGTGAGACTCCAACTCAAAAAAAAAAAAAAAAAAAAAACCCTAAAAGCACTCAAGATGTATTTTTAAGTGCACAAAAGAAAAAAAAAAGGTAGTCGCCAAAAGTTCATACATATAGTGATTATGTTAAAATAGTGAAACTAATTCGGAATTTTTAATGCTAATAGAAATTAGCTCAGTGTTGGCCCTTGCTTTTGTTAAACTCTGGCCAGGTCATGTGTTCATTGGGTATGGCCACTATGCTTTTACCTAAGCTTGGCCACCTCCCCTACCTTGGAGGTGAATCTCCTCTCTCTCTAATTCACTTTCTAAATAAACTTTATTTTCCAATCTTAAAAACAAAAAGAAAGAAATTAGCCCAGTGTTGTGAAATTATGAATAATTTTGTTTATTTATTGACATCTTTATTTTTCAGTTATTCACGATGAGCTGAATTATTTTATGAATATTTAAAAACACATTTTAAAATAGTAGATACTATGCCCTTTCTTTTAGAATTCTACTCATTGAAAATTCATTGTTTTGGCCAAAAGAGGTCAAGGCTATCTCCTGAACAATATGCAGAGCTGACTAGCTGGTCGCCAAAGTTTTGGCAAATAGTTTGTTATTTGGTTCTTTATATCAGTTGCACTCACAAAGGACTTACAAGTAAAAGTGTGGTTCATTCTATTTAAAAGAACATGTGCAGCTGCATATCATAGTTAAGGAGAAAAAAACTCATTCATTGTAATATGCAAATAGAAAAAATATTACTTAATATCACCATTAGATTGAATAGATATTGCATGAGTATTCATAAGCTATGCAAAAAGCAAAGCAAACAAAAACACAAACTATTTCAAAGGCATATCTGTTTATATTTGATGTTAAGGAAGCCCACAGCATCTCAGTAGTGATTATTCTCCTTTTATAATGTTACATACAGAACTGGCATCTGTTAAATCTAATACATTTTTGTATTTGTGTAGAATTAATATTTTCATTTGTTCTGTTTAAATACATAATCTGAGTGAAAAAACATTTAAAAAATACAAGAAAGCTCTGTAATTAAAATTCTTTCTCATAGGCTTTTGTCTAATGCATGGTTGATGAAGTCATGCGAATATCTTCACATTTTTAATTTAATTTCAGCAGTTTCTAGAAAATACAGCAATGAAGAAATACATTTATATTTGAAGCCTACAAATTTAAATTTACTATGTAGATCAAATTTATTCTTTACTATAAATAACATGCAGTTCTCAGTAAAAACTGCAACTTGATTTGCAAAGTAGATTTTTATTAGTAAACTTCAAAGCTACTTGTTAGAGATAAACTATAGCAACTATAACCAGAAAAAGTTTTCAAATTCCCCCCAAAAGAAAAATTTTATAGTAAAATACTATAATGAACCGGGCTCAGTGGCTCAGCCTATAATCCCACGCCTTTGGGAGGCTGAGGTGCGTGGACTGCCTGAGCCCGCAGGTTCGAGACCTGCCTGGGCAGCGAGACCTCATCTCTACAATAAATTAAAAAAAAAAAAAAATCAGCTGGGTGTGGTAGCACATGCCTGTAATTCCGGCTATTCGGAAAGCTGAGGCGGAAGGATTGCCGGAGCCCAGCACGTCAAGGCTGCGGTGGCCGGGAGCGGCCACTGCACTCCAGTCTGGGCGACTGAGTGAGACTCCAACAACAACAACAAAAAAAAATACTATAATGATATATTATGCTAATTAAGAGCAGAATCCTCAGCAGTACCTGTAAATGAAATAATTTGAAATGCAGTAGATATCTACTGAGAATTAACACCATACTTCTGGGAGATTAATGATCATGAATAGGAGTTAAGTTAGTCACAAATGGCAATGAAGAAAATATTTGTTGAGCTTTTCTCCACCCTAGAAGATGAGACAGCAAGTCATATTGGCCAGTATTACATACCTTCAAAATCAGGATTTCTTGGCAGGTTCATAACTATCTTTGCTGAGCTGTCAAGATCAGCTAGTACTGCTGTAACTCACCAACTATCAACTGGGCAGACTTTGGAAGAACCCTAGCTTCTTTTCCACAGGCTTCACTCTACCTCCTTCCTGAGGTTCTGACGTGTCCTAGGACTATAGTTGTCAAATTGGAAATACAAACACATTCTAAATCGTTCAGGGAATGCAGGTAGTGTTAAGAAAAACCATTTTCCAAAATCTTTAAAAAATGAATCTTTCTAAGAACACATCTTTTCTTCCAACATCATTGTTAAATTCCATCTAGTAAGAGAAATGCAGACTTCTCATCTGAACTGAACCTTACTTGGGCACATTTTTCTGGAGTATAAACCGTCAAATGCACCAAACAAATGGATGATTTTATACATGGGCAGCTATGTTAGTAACCTAAAGACTCTAATGATTATGTACAAAATTATCTCACAATTCTTGAAACAAATGAAAGAATTAATAAAGCTGTCACTGATAAATCATTGTTAATGATTTTGATGATTTATTATCAGAATTTTTTAACATATAAAAAAGGCTTATGGCAGGTTAAATAATAACTTTCAAATGATAACCACACCTTAATTCCTAAAACTTGTGAATGTGATCTTATATGACCAAAAACAAACAAACAAAAAAGGACTGCAGATATGATTAAATTGAGAAACTTGAAATGAGGAGATTATCCTGGATTACCTGGGTAGGCACTAAATGTTACTATTATTATAAGAAAGAGTGAGACTTGACACAGATAGAAGGGAAGAAACCAATGTGACCACAGAGGCAGAGATTAGGTGATGCAGTAACAGCCAAGGAATGCTGGCAGTCAACAGAGCTAGAAGAGGCAAGGAACAAATTCTCCCTTAGAACTTCCAGAGAAAGCACGTCATTGCCAGCACCTTGATTTCAACCCACAGATGCTGATTTCAGACTTCTGGCCTCCAGGAAAGGTGAAATGAAAGTGGACAACCAGCTACCCCAAAAGTTTGGGTTCCCAGGCAGGAGATCTATCCTTCCTTAATTTACAGGAAGCGTTGCAAGTGCTTAAAGAGAAAAATATCCCTGAGGACAGTCATTGACAAAGAGGAGAGGTGTGACTACCATTCCTAGTCCTAGAAGCTCTTGCTCTGTAACTTGACCCAAGGAGATGCCAAATCAGAGTGGCTGTTCATCAGTACCACACTGTAGGAGGTTTCTCTTACAGGTCCCTGAGCACTAATTTAAATTACTAGCCAGCTTCCCCACACTGCTAGGATAGTCCCTTTAGGACCTCTCCCATTAGGGAAGGACAGCACTCTGGTCTATACTAGAGCCAATGTGAATCTGAGATTAAGGAGTCACCTAAAGTCAAAAAGGAAACAGTGACCTAGTGGTTAAGAATCTCTAAGCAAATATATCCAGTAAAAAAATAAAATAAGCCAGACCAAAAAAAAAAAGACTAGAATAAATAACTAATCCTTCAATGCAAAGACAAAGACATAAGTTTACAAGAAACAGTAGCAAACAGGGAACCATGATCTCCTTAGTCAGACAAAGCAAGAAACCAGAAACTGACCCTGACAAGGTGGCAATATGTGAGTACTCTGGCCAAGAATTCAAAATAGTAGTTTTTTAAAAACTCAGGGATCGTCAAGATAACACAGAAAAGCAACTCAGAAACTTATCAGAGAAATTTAACAAAGAGATTGAAATAATTTTTAAAAATCAAACAGAAATCTTGGAACTGAAAAATGCATTTGCTGAACTATAAAATTTATAAAAGGCTCTCAACAGTAGAATAAACCAAGCAGAGGGAAAAAATCAGTTGAGCTCAAGATAGATGATTTGAAAATACACAGAAAAGAAAAAAAAGAATTGAAGCTCACCAAAAGATACAGAAAAAAAACCTCAAAAAACAAAATCTAAAAATTACTGGTGTTCAAGAAGGAATTGAACAAGAAACAGAAAAACAATGTAAGACAATGATTCTGTATTCTTACCTAGACCTATGTGAGGCAGGTTTTCAAAAAGGGTCCAGTTGTGGTCATCAATGTAATGATTCTTCAGGATCAACAGCTGACAAACATCACGGGCGGTTATGTCACTGGGTACGTCTAAAGCCCTGCTAGTTTCATCTTCACTGTATACTTTAATCACCTGCATAGGTAGAAACAAGAAAAAGACCTAAAATATTTTTGTGTGTTTCTTTTAGTTAATGTTTTTCAATAGATTATGTCGTATAAATTTAAAGTATACACTATGATATATATATCTCAAAATGGTTACTATAGTGAAGCAAATTATCATATCCATTCTCACATAGTTATCCATTTTCTGTTTGTGTGGCAAGAGCAGCTACAATCTACTCAGCAAAAATTCCAAATATAATAAGTCTTCACATTGTACATTAGATCTCTAGGCTTGTTCATCCTACATATGTGCTACTTTGTATTCTTCTATCTACATCTCTCCATTTCTCTCCACACCACCACTGCCCCCTGGTAAACATTGTTTTATTCTCTGTATATTCAAATATAGTTTTTAAGATTCCACATATGAGAATGCAATATTTTTCTTTCTGTGTCTTATTTCACATAACAATGTTCTCCTGGTTCATCCATGTGTGGCAAATGGCAGAATGTCCCTTTTGTAAGACTGAAGAATATTCCATAGTATATATGTAATCAAAGTTTATTTTTCTGTTCATCTATCAACAGTATAGGACACTTAGGTTATTTCCATATCTAGGCTATTGTGAATAATGCTGCAATGAACATGGGAATGCAAACATCTCTATGAGATACTAATCTTAATTCATTTAGGTATATACCCAAAAGAGTAATTGCTGGGTCATATGATAGTTCTATTTTTAATTTGTTTAGGAACCTCCATACTGTTTTCCAGAATGCCTATACCAATCAACATACCCACTAACAGTATACAAGGGTCCCTTTTTCTCTACACCTTCACCAAGATCTCTTGTCTTTTTGTCTTATCTCTTGCTTTTTTTGATAATAGCCACCCTAATGGGTATAAGTAGATATTTCATAGTGGTCTTGATTTGCATTTTTCTGATGATGAGTAATGCTGAACACCTTTTCACACAGCTGTTAGCCATTTTTATGTCTGCTTTGAAAAAAAACATCTATTCAGGTCCTCTGGTCATTTTTTAAATAATTTGTTTTTCTAATATTGAGTTTCATGAGTTCTTTATAAATTTTATATATTAACCTTTATAGTCACATATATTTTACAAACTTTTAAATCAATCCATAGGCAACTTTTTCATTAAAATATTCTATTAAGTCAGCAAACTTATTGGTATAATTGTTTATAAATTCCTTTTACAGTATCTTGTACATTTAATTTTCTTATACACTGAATGAATGTTACCACCCCAAGGCTTGTTTATGTCTTTATTTTTAAAAATTAAAAAATTTAAAAAGAACTTGATAAAAAAAAAAAGACTTGTTTATGTGTCAAAGTCAATTTGTCCAACAACTTCTCCTCTCTTCTATTTGATGTCTACTGTCATTTTCCTACCACTCTGGTCTATGAAAAAGCTATGCTTCTCTTACCAATATTTAGTATTTTACATTCCATATTTAAATCCTGGACATAATTGAAGTAACATGAGTAATTTATTCCCAGATATACTCAAATAATAAAAGTTGAGAACAGAATTAGATTTTATGAAAAGATTTCTTATTTGAAGTATGGAAATTTGGGCAAAACTGGCCAGATGTTAACTAAATCCTTTTTCTTTTCTCCCTTGCAATTAGCTGTGGCTATGGGACTGAGTTTTAATCAATGGAATGTAAGCACATAAAAATCTCCCATATATAAGGGAAGAAAATGGAATTTATTTATAAAAAATTGTGGATTTATTCTTACATGTTTAAACTTCAGTCACCTTTAAAGTACTCGCCGTTTGATGCAATATACCTATCGAGATGCTTTTTCCACTACTCAACACAGTTTTTGAACAGTTCTGTCAATTTTTATGTCTTTTAGTGCTTCTGCCATTTTTTGTTTTATCTCTTCTACATTGAAAACATTTCCCTTTGAGGACTTTTTTTGTCTGGAGAAACAAAAAAAAAGTCACTTGGAGCGAGACTGGGTGAATACGGAGGAGGGGGCACGGCAGTCATGCCATTTTTGGCCCAAAACTGCTGAACACTCAGCGCGGTGTGGGCAGGTGTATTTTCATGGTGAAAGAACCAGTCACCTGCTTGCCACAACCTAAGACATTTCTTCCACAAATTGTGATGCAACCTTCTCAAAACGTCCAGATAAAAACTTTGGTTAACTGTCTGATCTGGTGAAACAAATTCTGAGTGTACCACAGAGGACCGACCCTGCAAAAGAATTCCAGTTGTTCTTGGGTCCCTTTTCATATTGTTCTCTATTCTCTTTTGCCACCTTCTCACTGAATGGAATGGCTGATTATGAGGGCCCAGAGGAAAGGAAAGCCACAGGACAGAATGAGCTCTTGTCCCTAAGTGACTGCATGGAATATGCCTAATATGAGACTCTGACATGAGCAAGAAATAAACTCCTATTGTTAGCTCCCTGTGAACTAGGATTTATCTATTAGAGCAGCTGTTAGTCTAAATTATACAAAATTAGAGTTGCATGTAAAATACTCTCTTCAACACTTCCCAAGCAGTGCTCTGTGCTAGAATTTTCACTATTAATAATGTTGTTGGGTTTTATGTTAATTAAATTAATTAAAGGAAGATAAATATCTATGACAATAGTTACAGTAAGGTCAACAAACACACCCACAAAAGTAGGAAATACCAAAAAAATTCAATATAAAAATGTATCTATTACAAACACATAGTTTGATTTTTAGTAGTTCAAACAAATGCAAATTAAAATGTATCAATTCTATCCTATCTTATCTATCCTATCTTTTAAAGTTAAATTTAATAACCATACAACAAAACCGTTATTGTTTTACAAATATAGGGGTAATACGAAGTGATAAAACTATTTTTTACATCTATTGGAAAATATTTATCACAAGCATTAAATGGTCCATTCTTTCAACTCTGTAATTTTTTCCTTATTTTACATTTTATTTAAGAGTTGTGGAGTACAAGTGAGGATCTGCTACATAAGTAGGCTGCATGCAGATAAAGTTTGGGCTTCCAACTGGCCCTTACTGCCCCTAGTAGTGGACCAGGTACCCATTTGTTGTCACACTTTCCCCTCCCACTTTCCCACTTTTGTGGGTGTATTTGTTGACCTTCCCCCCCTAGTAGTGCCCAATAAATGCCAATCTCTCCCTTGTGCTAATGTGACTAGTGTTCAGGCCCTGCTTATGAGTGAGAACATGTCATATTCAGTTCCTTTTTTCTGTGATAGTTCACTTAGTATGATGGTCTCCAATTGCAATGAAGTTGCTACAAAGACCATGATTTTGTTCTTCTTTATGGCTGCATAATATTCCATCAAGTATATGTACCACATTTTCTTTATCTAGTCTACTTCTGATGGGCAACAGGGTTGGTTTCACGTTTTTGTTATTATGAATAATGCAGCAGTAAACATGCATGTGCAAATGTCTTTTTGGTAGAGCAATTTATGTTCCTCTGGGAGTTCAATTTTTAGTTGAGAAATCACTACACTGCTTTTCATAAAAGTTGAACTAGCTTACAATCCCACCAATGGTTTTGAAGAGTTCCCTTTTCTCTGCACTTATTGTTTTTTTGACTTATTAATGATAGCTATCCTTATAGCAACTAGGTGGTATCTCATTATAGTTTTGACTTGCATTTAACTGATGATCAGTGAGGCTGAGCAATTTTTCATCTGTCTGTTGGCTGCTTGTATGTCATCCTTTGAGAAGTGTCTGTTCACGTCCTTTGCCCACTTTTTAATGGGGTTGTTTGTATTTGTCATTTCAGTTCATTTAAGTTCCTTGTAGATCTTGGATCTTGGATGTTAAGGCTTTGTCAGATGTATAACTTGTCAGATGTATAACTTTGTCAGATGTATAATATTTTTTCCCTTTCTTGTGAGTTGTCTGTTTACTCTCTTGATGGTTTCTTTTGCTGGGCAAAAACTCTTCAGTTTGATGAGGTCCCATCTGCCTATCTTAGCTATTGTAGCATTTGCTTTGGAGGACTTGGTCATGAATTCATTGCCTAATCTAATGTCCAGAAGGGTGTTTCCTAAGTTTTCTTCCAGGATTCCTATAGTTTGAGGTTGTACATTTATGTACGTGATTGATTATGAGTTAATTTTTGTATATAGTGATAGGTAGGGGTCCAGTTTCATTTTTCTGCATGTGTTTAGACAGTTTTCCCAGCACCATTTGCTAAATATGGGCCCCTTACCCTAATGAATATCATTGGTGGTTTTGTTGAAGATGAGTTGGTTGAAAAACCATGTTATTACTTCCGGAATCTCTGTCCTGTTCCATTGGCCTATGTGCCTATTGGTGTACCAATGCCATGCTATCTTGGTCACTGTAGCCTTGTAACAAATACCTCCCTCTTTATTCCTTTTGCTGATGATTGTTTTGGCTATTTGTGCTCTTTTTTGTGTCCACATGAATTTCTGTGTTGTTGTTTCCAGGTGTGTGAAAAATGTTAGTAATTTTATGAGTACTGCATCAAATCCGGAGATTGCCTTGGGTCGGATGGACATCTTGACAATATTGATTCTTCCAATTAATGAGCATGGGATGTTTTTCCATTTGTTTGTATCACCCTTGATTTCTTTGAGCAGCATTTTGTAGTTCTCATTGTAAAGGTCTTTCACTTCTCTGATGACACGAATGCCAAGGTATTTCGTGTGTGTGTGTGTGTGTGTGTGTGTGTGTGTGTGTGTGTGTGTGTGTGTGGGCTGTTGTAAATGGGATTTTGATTTTAATTTGATTCTCCACCTTCTTGTTGTTGGTGCATAAAAATGCAAGTGTCTTTTGCACATTAATTTTGTATACTAGGCCTTTACCAAAGTTGTTTATCAGTGCAAGGAGATTTTTGAGAAACTTCCTAGGGTTTTCTAGATGTAGCATTATATCACCTGCAAAGAGAGATAGCTTAACTTCCTCTTTTCCTATTTGGATATCTCTGGTTTCCTTCTTTTGCCTGATTGCTCTGGCTAGCACTTCCAGAACTTTGTTGAATAGAAGGGGTACGAGT